CCTGTTAATAGCTACTTCTTCTGGCATTGAGAAACTTGACTCTCCTCATATGTAAATGTTTCCCTATGAAAAACAGATTTACCAAATAGAGTTCGGTGTTTGTGTACAGCTGTTTCTGTCTTTAGCCTTACAATATCTAAACAAAGCACTGTTTTCTTAAAGTTATAGGTCAGCTCCCCATCCATGTCAGTGAGATTATGTCTTACTCTATAATACAGTTAGATTCATTTGTCCACAGCCTTTATTCTATCTGGATTACCCCAACCTTCTGGGTTTTCTTCTTTTTTTCTGAGGCAAGGTCTTGTAACCCAGGCTGGAGTGCAGTGGTGCAATCTCAGCTCATTGTAGCCTCTGCCTCCCAAGCTCAAACAGTCCTCCCACTTCAGCCTCCTGGGTAGCTGGGACTACAGCCACACACCACTATATCCATCTAATTTTTGTACTTTTTTAGCAGGGTAGAGTCGGGATTTCACTATGTGAAAGACCAGGCGGGTCTTTAACTCCTGAGCTCAAGCAATCCACCCACCTTAGCCTCCCAAAGTGCTGGGATTACAGGCATGAGCCATTGCGCCCGGCTTCTCTTCCTAATTTTTTAAAAGTTTGCATGCAGTAAAACCATTTTTTGTTGTGTGTAGTTCTGTGGGTTTTGACAAATGCATGCAGTCATGTATCCACCACCAGAGAACCATACAGAACAATTCTGTCACTCTAGAATTTCCCTCGTATTCAGCCCATCCCTTTACCCTAATCCCTAGTCTGTGATATCACATAAGTGGAATAAAATAATACATATTCTTTGGGTCTGGCTTCCTTCCCTTAGCAAAATGCATTTAAGATTAATCCATGTTGTTAGATGAATCAACAAGGAGATTTTAAGGAGACTATAGATGTGCTTTAATAATGCTGGTATAGGCTGGCTGCAGAGGCTTGGACCTGTAATCTCAGCTATTCCAGAGGCTGAGGTGGGAGGAAGGCCTGAGCTCAGGAGTTTGAGGCTGCAGGGAGCTATGGTCATGTCACTGCACTCCAGCCTGGGCCACAGAGGGAGACCTCATCTCTGACATAATAATAATAATAATAATAATAATAATAGTAGTAGTAGTAGTACTATAGATGATTCATATTTTATTTTTTATTTTCATTTATTTATTTATTTTGAGACAGAGTTTTTGCTCTTGTTTCCCAGGCTGGAGTGCAATGGTGCAATCTCGGCTCACCGCAACCTCCGTCTCCTGGGTTCAAGCCATTCTCCTGCCTCGGCCTCCTGAGTAGCTGGGACTACAGGCATGCACCACCATGCTCAGCTAATTTTTGTATTTTTTAGTAGAGACAGGGTTTCACCATGTTGACCGGGACTGCGATCTCTTGACCTCGTGATCCACCGGTCTCGGCCTCCCAAAGCGCTGGGATTATAGGCGTGAGCCACCGCGCCCGGCCTATGGTTCATATTTTAACCACAACAATTATGACTTTGTCCTTAGGTTTAGATCATATAAATTATAGGTTCCAATTATAAAAATATGCATTGTTACATACTATGAGGTAACAAACAATACACAATAAATTGGTAATGAAGCAAAACCATCAGTAGTTCACAAAAGAACCAGAAGCCTTTGAAAACAATGATTGATACAATTACAGTGATAATATAGTAATAATGATCTTCTTGAAAACTAAAGGCATTTCAAGTAACTGGTTGAGGCCATGTGAAGGGGGTGTTCTGCAGTGATACCAAGCACTGAGTATAAGCTTCCACCTTAGAATGTAGAATTAAGAATCCTTAGAAAATGAATAATCCTCACAAATACCTATTTCCAGTAATTTTTACTAACTCAAGTAATTTACTAGTAAGTTTCTCTAAGTCAGGCAAAAATAAAGTCTGTTGCTTGTTTGTTCATCAGAACCAAAGAGGATGAGCACAGTAGCTCACACCTGTAATCCCAGCACTTTTGGGGGCTGAAGTAGGAGGATTGCTTGAGCCCAGGAATTCAAGACCAGCCTGGGCAATATAGTGAGACCCCAGCTCTATAAAAAATATTTTAGGCCAGGTGCGGTGCACGCCTGTAATCCCAGCACTTTGGGAGGCCAAGGTGGGCTGATTACCTGAGGTCAGGAGTTTGAGACCAGTCTGCCCAACACGGTGAAACCCCGTCTCTACTAAAAACACAAAAAATTAGCCTGGTGTAGTGGCAGGTACCTGTAATCCCAGCTACTAGGGAGGCTGAGACAGGAGGAATCACTTGAACCCGGGAGGTAGGGGTTGCAGTGAGACAAGATTGCGCCATTGCACTCCAGCCTGGATGACAAGAGTGAAACTCCATCTAAAAAAAAAAAATTGTTTAAATTAGCCAGGTGTGGTGACACATGCTTGTAGTCCCAGCTGCTCAGCAGGCTGAGGTGGGAGGATCACTTGAGCTCAGGAGGTCAAGGCTGCAGTGAGCTATGATCGTGCCATTGCACTCCGGCCTGAGTGACAGAGCGAGACCCTGTCTCAATAACTAAAGAAAGAACTTACAGCTTTAGTTCAATCTGTCGCTTGTCAGAGGAACTTCTTGTTTCATTATGAACTTCAGACACGTTTTTAAAAATCACTGAATAGGAGGAGGTCAGATTATATTTATTGATTTCAGTGCTAAGTGCAATGAATAGCTTTCTAATACTTTTTTAATTTCTTTTTTATGAAATTGTTATTTTTATGAAGAAACCCCTCTCTTCTCTCTAAGCACCAAGAGTCATAAAAAAAAAAAATCAGTTCTCTCAGAATGTCTTCCAAAGTAAATAAAGAGTTAAAAAACAAAAAAAAGGAAAAACATATTATTTGCTGTTATAGCACAAAAAAGGGAGTGTGAGTAGATATATATATGTATATACACACATATATATACTCCCTTTCAAAAACAAACAGAAGTCCCCAGAACACATGAATGTGCCTGAGCGGCTGGCTCACACTTGTAATCTTAACACTTTGGAGTATGAGGTAGGATAATCACTTGAATCCAAGAGTTTGAGACCAACTGGGGAACATGTCGAAACCCCATCTCTACCCAAAAAAAAAAAAAAAAAAAAAATTAGCTGGGTATGGTGTCATGCACCTGTAGTCTTAGCTACTTGGGAGGCTCAGGCAGGAGAATGGCTTGGGCCTAGGAGTTCAAGGCTACAGAGAGCTATGATCATACCACTGCACTCCAGCCTGTGTGACAGAGCAAGACCCTACCTGTCTCAATAAATAAATAAATACACATGAATGTGCAGGGAACACTTCATGTCTGCATTACAATATTGTACGAAACAGTAGTGAATCCTCTCAGCCCGCAGTAGGCACATAGCTCTTTTTGTTAATGGTGAATGTGTACATTACTGCAGTGTACCTCCTGGGAACACCATCTCTGAACCTCAGGGAATGTGTGAAATAACGTTTTCTATTCAGGGCATTGGAAAGGAGAATCAGGGTGCTTGCCTTGGCAGCACGTATACTAAAGGAGAATTCAGGGTGAGGTGCTTACTGAACAAGGTACACACATAGAAGCATGCATCACAAACAAGAACTCTTAGAAGCTACCTGTTCATGTGTTTTGTTTGTTTGTTTGTTTTTGGAGACAGGGTCTTGCTCTGTCACCCTGGCTGGAGTGCAGTGGCTCAATCTCGGCTCACTGCAACCTCTGCCTCCTGGGTTCAAGTGATTCTCCTGCCTCAGCCTCCCAAGTAGCTGGGACTACAGGCATGTGTCACCACACCTGGCTAATTTTTTGTATTTTTGGTAGAGACAGCATTTCACCATGTTAGCCAGGATGGTCTCAATCTCCTGACCTCGTGATCCACCCATCTTGGCCTCCCAAAGTGCTGGGATTATAGACTTGAGCCACCGCACCCAGCCAATTTTTTTTTTGAGATGGAGTTTCGCTCTTGTTGCCCAGGCTGGAGTACAATGGCGAAACCTTGGCTCATTGCAACCTCTGCCTCCCAGGTTCAAGTGATTCTTCTGCCTCAGTCTCCTGGGTAGCTGGGATCACAGGCGCCTGCCACCTCTCCTGGCTAATTTTTGTATTGTTAGTAGAGATGGAGTTTCACTGTGTTGGCCAGGCCGGTCTCAAACTCCTGACCTTAGGTAATACACCCACCTCAGCCTCCCAAATTGCTGAGATTACAGGTATGAGTCACCATGCCCAGCCCTGAGTTATATATTTTTTTAATGGAGACAGGGTTTCATTATATTGGCCAGGCTGGTCTCAAACTCCTGACCTCGTGATCTGCCCGCCTCGGCCTTCCAATGTGCTGGGATTACAGGCATAAGCCACCTCACCCAGCCTGACCTACTCTAATTTTTTTTTTTTTTTTTTGAGAAGGAGACACTGTTGCTTAGGCTAGAGTACAGTGGCATGATCTTGGCTCGCTGCAACCTCCACCTCCTGGGTTCAAGTGATTCTACTGCCTCAGCCTCCCAAGGTGGGACTAGGTGTGCGTCACCATGCTGGGCTAATTTTAGTAGAGACGGGGGTGTCACCATATTGGCCAGGCTGGTCTTGAACTGCTGACTTCATGATTCATCTGCTTTGGCCTCTCAAAGTGCTGGGAATACAGGTGTGAGCCACTGCACCTGGCCTATAATTTTTTTTTTAACTGTACGTTAATGAGCCCCTTATAGACAAGTTATTTAATAACCTTCCCAGAGATAGTCATGGCTCCTAATCTGAATGTATTATCTGCTCTTATGCTTGGTCAAATTGCTCAGCAGAAAGAAAGAAGTGAACCCATCTGTGGCCATCTGATGCAAAGGCCTAGAAATCTTAAATGGTACTTTAAAAAGGACAATAAATCATGTGACATTTAAGAACTTGGTTTTGGTAAGGCTAGACTAGTAAGCCTATGCATTTATTTCATTATTTTATTTCCCCTTAGAAATAAGGAGTTAACATTCAAGAGGCTCAGAAAACAAATAAACCTTCTTTGATCTGGTTGTTTTTTCAGGTTAGTCTGATTAAAAAATTATCCTTGCATTTCAGGCAATTTCTCAGCATACACGGGAGCTCCTGGAAATCGAAGAGCCATTATTCAAACGCTCCATCAGCCTTCCCTATAGGGATATTATTGGCTTGTATTTAGAGCAAAAAGGTCATACTGGGATAAAATCTGATTCTTTGACTTTATCTGAATTTGTCAAAGCAACAGGATTACAGGATTATGCTCCAGAAATAACTGCCCCTGAAGAGGAAGAGGAATTACCTTACATTGAACCATAGCAGGAAACCGCTTCACATAGCTTGAAAGATCAAACTAAATTACTTGAGGGAAGAGGTATGGCCTTTTTTGGTTTTTCTTTTTCTGCTTTTTTTTTTTTCTTGAGATGGAGTCTCACTCTGTTGCCCAGGCTAGAGTGTAATAGCATGATCTCAACTCACTGCAACCTCTGCCTCCCGGGTTCAAGCAATTCTCCTGCCTCAACCTCTGGAAGAGCTGGGATTACAGGCACTCACCACCATGCCCAGCTAATTTTTGTATTTTTAGTAGAGATGAGATTTCACCATGTTAGCCAGGCTGGTCTTGAACTCCTGATCTCAGCTAATCCACTCGCCTCAGCCTCTCAAAGTGCTGAGATTACAGGCATGGGCCACTGCACCCGGCCCCTTTTTCTCCTTTTCATTAAGGATCAGAGTTAGAACTGCTGGCTCCATTCCTAGTTGTGTCTCTGACTTAGGCACCTTCCCTTCGTTTTTCAATTTAACCCCTTGTTAAAACAAAGATAGTAATGCTTATCTTTCTGGGTAATTATAAGAATTCCTGGCCAGGCGCGGTGGCTCAAGCCTGTAATCCCAGCACTTTGGGAGGCCGAGGCGGGTGGATCACGAGGTCAAGAGATCGAGACCATCCTGGTCAACATGGTGAAACCCCGTCTCTACTAAAAATACAAAAAATTAGCTGGGCATGGTGGCACATGCCTGTAATCCCGGCTACTCAGGAGGCTGAGGCAGGAGAATTGCCTGAACCCGGGAGGCGGAGGTTGCAGTGAGCCGAGATCGCGCCATTGCACTCCAGCCTGGGTAACAAGAGCGAAATTCCGTCTCAAAAAAAAAAAAAGAATTCCTGAGCCGGGCAAAGTGGCTCACACCTATAATTCTAGCAATTTGGGAGGCTGGGACGGGCATATCACCTGAGGTCAGGAGTTCAAGACCAGCCTGGCCAACAAGGCGAAACCCCGTCTCTACTAAAAAATACAAAAATTAGCTGAGCATGGTGGCACATGCCTGTAGTCCCAGCTACTCAAGAGGCTGAGGCAGAAGAATCACTTGAACCTGGAAGGCTACTGTACACCAGCCAGGGAGACAGAGCAAGATACTGTGTCAAACAAACAAAACAAAATTCCTGGAAAATTCTACGAATGCACCTGGTAGTAGGAACATGTTGGGGAAATATAATTAAAAATAAAATCGCCTACCAACTCCAGAGAAATAATTCTCTCCACAAATGCAGAAAAGAAACGATTGTTATTCTTGAATAAGCATTAAACTATGATGCATGTCACCAGCAAGCTGCTGAAGAGATTGCAAAGACAAATCTCACCCTTTTAGATGGCAGGGCAGATATAATCCATGACATACATGTTAATTATCTGTATCCAAAAGAAAAATAAATCTTCTGTCCTGACAACAAACAGAAGTTACTACTTGGAGCCAGGGACTTAGGCTAAACTCCCACAGAGATAGGGAGGCAAGGTACCAACCTCCTTAGCGCTCATGTTTTAAAGCGATATCTCCAAGGCCTCCAAAAAAGGGACTGTTCTGGGGTATAAAAGGGCTAGAGATTTATTCAGCTTTTTAAAAGATTTACATACATCTCAAGGACACAGTAAAAGGATTTACAATGACAGGTTCTCTAAAGAAAATGTTTTTGTTGTTTATTTTTTTGAGACAGTCTTACTCTGTTGCCCAGATTGGAGTGCAATGGTGCAATCTTGGCTGACTGCGACCTCCACCTACTGGGTCCGAGTGATTCTCCTCCCTCAGCCTCTTGAGTAACTAGGATTACAGGCATGAGCCACCACACCTGGCTAATTTTTTTGTATTTTTAGTAGAGATGGGGTTTCACCATGTTGGCCAGGCTAGTCTCAAACTCCCAGCCTCAAGAGATCCTCCTGCTTTGGCCTCCGAAAGTCTGGGGATTACAGGAATTGAGCCACTGCTCCCACCCTAAAGGAAATGTTTTCTTTTTTAATTATATATATATATATTTTAAAGACGGGGTTTCACCATGTTGGTCAGGCTGATCTTGAACTCCCAACCTCAGGCGATCCACCCACCTTGGCCTTCAAAGTGCTTGGATTACAGGGATGAGCCACCGCTCCCGGCCAGGAAATGTTTTAAGAAAAAAAGTGGGTAAGTTCTCTGTTCCTTTTGGCATCAGGGAAAATTAAATTTAAAATTTTTTTTAGATACGTATATATCTAAATATGTAAATATCTAAACGTGGCTTAGCACTATGAAATAGGTTCTGTGGTTTGTCTTCAAGGCTCTTTTATGTGGTACTTTCCAAATTTTTTGTTTTCCTTTTTGTGGAGAACGGGGTCTCGCTATATTGCCCAGGCAGGTCTCGAACTCCTTGGCTCAAGCTATCCTCCTGCCTCTGCCTCCCTAAGAGCTGGGATTACAGGCATGAGCCACAGCGCCTGGCTCCAGATCTTTATAACATAAAATTTAGGTTAGAGTCTACCCACGACTGGACTTCTCAAAAGAAATTATAAGCCGGGCACAGTGGATCACGCCGGTAATCCCAGCACTTTGGCCATTCCAGGCAGATCACTTAGGTCAGGAGTTTGAAACCAGCCTGGCCAACATGGTGAAATCCCATCTCTACTAAAAATACAAAAATTAGACAGGCTTGGTAGCTGGCACCTGTAAACCCAGCTACTCGGGAGGCTGAGGCAGGAGAATCACTTGAACCCAGGAGGTGGAGGTTGCAGTGAGCCAAGATTGCACCACTGAACTCTAGCCTGGGCGACAGAACAAGACTCCATCTCAAATAAATAAATGAAAGGAAGAAAAGGAAGGAAGGAATTATAAAATTATTTCTTGTTACCTAATAGCTCTAGTTCCCCTCTAGTATTACAGATTTTGACCTCACATTTTAATCCTGAAAACAACCATGGGGCTAACACAGTCCTGAAGGACAGTGATGGACCTTCTCCCGCTCCCTACACCTGAATAGTAAACGATATGTTTTTCTGTTTTTCCACTGAGAGACATGAGTGCCTCAGATTAATATTCATGCCGATATTTGTTAATATTTGATGATAAACCTAATATTTTCCCAAATTGGACTAACAAAATTTCATCAGAAACCATTCTAACACCATGTCATTGCATTTGCCTGGCTCACCATTATGTAAAAAAAAACCAAAATGTAAATGATTCACCTGAGACCATGGTGATTTACATGTGTAGTGAATGGTTTTGTTCAAAACCCTTTAGCATTTAGCAAAGAGTGGTTATGTTCTATGACAGAACATAGGGATAGCCCTGTTGTTTTCAACTCTTATAATTGACAAAAAGAATTTGTAAAACATAAAGGAAATCAACAAATTTGCAGTATAGATCTATATTTTGCAAAATGAGTTTTAGCCCATTAAATACCAGGTTTTTCATGATTTAAATGGGAATAGCTGTAAATAAGATAGTGCCAGAACACTCATATACAGTTAAAAGAAGCATGATATAGGCCGGGCGCGGTGGCTCAAGCCTGTAATCCCAGCACTTTGGGAGGCTGAGGCGGGTGGATCACGAGATCAAGAGATCGAGACCATCCTGGTCAACATGGTGAAACCCCGTCTCTACTAAAAATACAAAAAATTAGCTGGGCATGGTGGCGCGTGCCTGTAATCCCGGCTACTCAGGAGGCTGAGGCAGGAGAATTGCCTGAACCCGGGAGGCGGAGGTTGCAGTGAGCAAGATCGCGCCATTGCACTCCAGCCTGGGCAACAAGAGCGAAACTCCGTCTGAAAAAAAAAAAAAAAAAGAAGCATGATATAAGTCATAATTCAATTAAGATGGTTTACATTTACTTCTCTATCCGAAATTGTGAGAAAATCAAACTGTCTTTTTCCAGCTGCCTATTGCTGGCAAATGGATTGGAACTTGATTTATTGGAAAAGAAGCTGCAGTATGTAATTGTCTTAAAACTTATAACATTATAACTTCCTGAATTTTAGAAGAGAAATAATTTGTATTAACAAGGCTTTTCTGTAGGAGCTGCTTCCTTAAGTTAGGTTGTGTAGTTTCAGTAGTTGATTCTGAAAGCCAGACACATATTGATGGATAGGAGTACTTGTTTTATTCTACATTTTAAAGAGTCATCAGTACAGTTGTATAATTCCTGATCTCTATCATGTGGCAAACACAATACAGTCACAAGACTCCCACTGTCAACTGTGATAATCAGGGCACAACCATTGTAGAGAAAATCTGTGAGTGGGAAAAAATCCTGATTCCTGACTTCTCTCATTGGGAGGGATAGCCTGTGGAAATGACTGGCTGTTCGTTGGTTAGGGAGATGCCAAATGAATCACAGTATAGACGGGTAAGGTGGTCTTGGAGAAGAGGACTGCTTGAGAGATGCTGGCTAAAGGGAGTTGCCTTGAGTTGCACAGCAGTCAGATCAAACCAGGGGAAAGGCCTGAAGTGAAAAAAAATATATTGTTACTTTTTTATGTCTGTTCAGTATATCTGATTTGGCTGTTAAACACATCTTTTAAAGAAAGTTTTCCTCATAACCTTTTCATAAACTAGAAATATTCATGCCTTTTCGTAAACTAGAAATTCAGTTAGAACTATTCAATGTGTAGAGTTAAGTGTACCTAATGGTGATTTTTCACACTTACATACATTTCTCTAAGTGCATTTGGAGAGGCATTCATTAGAGAATTATTATAATATTGATGTTGATACCCTTTGCAGAATATTTTTCTTGAATTTAGAAAGAACATAAATTAAGCAAGGAAGAAGTCTAATTGCTTTTAAGATACCCTCTCTAGTTGGCTGGGTGCAGTGGCTCGTGCCTATAATCTAGCACTTTGGGAGGCCAAGGCAGCAGGATCACTTGAAGCCAGGAGCTTGAGACCAGCCTGGACAATATAGTGACACTCCATCTCTACAAATTAAAAAAAAATAATAAGCTGGGTGTGGTGGGGCACACCTGTAGTCCCAGCTACTCAGGAGCCTTAAGGTGGGAGATTGCTTGAGTCCAGCAGGTCAAGGCTGCAATGAGCTGTGATCACTAGCCTGGCCTACAGAGTGAGACCCCCATCTCTAAAAAAAGAGAGAGAGAGGGAGGAAAGTTAATATGCAAATGAATACCAACAGGACAACGATAAATAGTCTGTAGTGTAATTCAAGTTAAAAAGCCTTAAAACATAGAATTTCCATATTTTTCAAAAGATCAGCAGAGCCAGGCATGATGGTACCCACCTATAGTCCCAGTTGCTCAGGAGGCTGAGAAAAGAGGATTGCTTGAGCCCAGGAGTTCAAAGTCAGCCTGGGCAACATAGCAAGACCCTGTCTCTTAAAAAAAAATCATTTTCCTCCCCGGCTGTCTAAGGATAGGAGGATAGGCCGCCATCATGAACAACACAGTAACTATCCACACTAGAAAGTTCATGACCAACTGACTACTTCAGAGGAAACAAATGGTCATTGATGTCCTTCACCTCGGGAAGGCACCAGTGCCTAAGATAGAAATTCGGGAAAAACTAGCCAAAATGTACAAGACCACACTGGATGTCATCTTTGTATTTGGATTCAGAACTCACTTTGGTGGTGGCAAGACAACTGGCTTTGGCATGATTTATGATTCCCTGGATTATGCAAAGAAAAATGAACCCAAACATAGACTTGCAAGACATGGCCTGTAGGAGAAGAAAAAGACCTCAAGAAAGCAGTGAAAGGAACGCGAGAACAGAATGAAGAAAGTCAGGGGGACTGCAAAGGCCAATGTTGGTGCTGGCAAAAAGCCGAAGGAGTAAAGGTGCTGCAATGATGTTATCTATGGCCGTTGTGGATTTTTCACAAGAAGCTTAATAAACCAAAAACTTTCAGACCAATGGAACAGAACAGAGGCATTGGAGGCAACACAGCATATCTACAACCATACAATCTTTGATAAACCTGACAAAAACAAGCAATGGGGAAAGGACTCCCTGTTTAATAAATGGTGTTGGGAAATCTGGCTAGCCATGTGCAGAAAGCAGAAACTGGACCCCTTCCTGACACCTTACACTAAAATTAACTCCAGATGGATTAAAGACTTAAACATAAGACCTGGCACCATAAAAACGCTAGAAGAAAATCTAGGCAAAACCATTCAGGACATAGGAGTAGGCAAGGACTTCATGACCAAAACACCAAAAGCATTGGCAACTAAAGCCAAAATAGACAAATGGGACCTGATCAAACTCCACAGCTTCTGCACGGCAAAAGAAACAGTCACTAGAGTGAATCAACAACCAACAGAATGGGAAAAAAAATGTTTGCAGTTTACCCATCTGACAAAGGGCTGATATCCAGAATTTACAAAGAACTCAAACAAATTTACAGGAAAAAAACAAACAAGCCCATTCAAAAATGGGCAAAGGATATGAACAGACACTTTACAAAAGAAGACATACATGAGGCCAACAAGTATATGAAAAAATGCTCATCATCACTGGTCATTAGAGAGATGCAAATCAAAACCACATTGAGATACCATCTCACTCCAGTTAGAATGGCGATCATTAAAAAATCTGGAGACAACAGATGCTGGAGAGGATGTGGAGGAATAGGAACACTTTTACACTGTTGGTGGGAGTGTAAATTAGTTCAACCATTGTGGAAGACAGTGTGGCGATTCCTCAAGGCCTTAGAAATAGAAATTCCATTTGACCCAGCAATCCCATTACTGGGTATATATCCAAAGGACTATAAATCATTCTACTATAAGGACACATGCACACGAATGTTCACTGCAGCACTGTTTACAATAGCAAAGACCTGGAACCAACCCAAATGCCCATCCATGATAAACTGGATTGGGAAAATGTGGCACATATACACCATGGAATATTATGCAGCAATCAAAAAGGATGAGTTTGTGTCCTTTGTAGGGACATGGATGAATCTGGAGAACATCATTCTCAGCAAACTGACACAAGAACAGAAAATGAAATACCGCATATTCTCACTCATAGGCGGGTGATGAAAAATGAGAACACATGGACACAAGGAAGGGAGTACTACACGCTGGGGTCTACTGGGGGTATAGTGGAGGGACAGCGGCGGTGGGGGATAGCTTGGGGAGAAATGCCAAATGTGGGTGAAGGTGAAGACGGCAGCAAAACACACTGCCATGTGTGTACCTATGCAACTATCTTGCATGTTCTGCACATGTACCCCAAAACTTAAAATGCAATAAAAAAAAAAAAAATCAAGGCCGGGCCGGTGGCTCACACCTGTAATCCCAGCACTTTTGGAGGCCGAGGTGGGTGGATCACAAGGTCAGACCAGCCTGGCCAATTTGGTGAAACCCCATCTCTACTAAAAATAGAAAAAATTAGCTGGGCGTGGTGGCTCATGCCTGTAATCTCAGCTACTCGGGAGGCTGAGGCAGGAGAATCACTTGAACCCAGGAGAATCATATGAACCAGGCTGCAGTGAGCCGAGATCGTGCCATTGCACTCTAGTCTGGGCAACAAGAGTGAAACTCCATCTCAAAACAAAAACAAAAACAAAAAAATCAGGAGTAAGGCTAAGGCAAAATATCTGCTCTCACCAGTCTTATAAAACATAGTACTAGAAGTTCTAGGCTGTGCCATAAGGCAAGAAAAGGAAATTAAAAGGCATGAAGGTTGGAAAGGAAGAAATGAAATTGCCTATTTATATATGACATCATTATCTATGTAGAAAACTCCAATGAATCTTTTTTTTTTTTTTTGAGACATAGTCTCGCTCTGTTGCCTAGGCTGGAGTGCAGTGGCATGATCTCGACTCACTGCAACCTCTGCCTCCCAACTTCAAGCAATTCTCCAGCCTCAGCCTCCCAAGTAGCTGGGATTACAGGCACCTGCCACCATGCCCAGCTAATTTTTTGTACTTTTAGTGGAGATGGGGTTTCACCGTGTTAGCCAGGATGCTCTCAATCTCCTGAACTCGTGATCCGCCCACCTCAGCCTCGCAAAGTGCTGGGATTACAGGCATGAGCCACTGCACCCAGCCCAAGGAATCTATTTTTAAAACCTCCTAGAACTAATGAAATTAGCAAGGTTGTAGGATACAAAATTAACATACAAATACCAATTGTGTTTACGTATAATAGTGATAAACATGTGGACACCAAAACTTAAAATGCTATTTCGTTTATCCCTCCAAAAAATGACATACTTAGATGTAAATCCAGTAAAACATGTATACAAGACTTGCATAATGGAAACTATAAAATGCTGATGAAATCAAAGAATATTTAGATAGAGAGACATACTATATTAATGAATGGGGAAACTCAACAAAATTAAGATGTCAGTCTTCCAAAAATTGATCTATAGAATCATAAAATAAAAATTCTTGACAACACCAGTTGCTGATGAGGATGCAGAGAAACTGGATCATACATTGCTAGTGATAATATAAAATGGTACTACTGTGAAAAACATTTTGGCAGTCTCTTAAAAAAATAAATATGCAACTACCAAATGACAATACTTACACTCCTGGGCATTCATTCCAGGTAAGTGAACACTTATGTTCCCATAAAAGCCTATACATGAATATTCATAACACCCTTATTCCTAATAGCCAAAAACCCAGATGTCCTTCAACAGATGAATGGTTAAACAAATTGTGATACAGCCATGCTGTGGAATACTATTCAGCAATAAATGCCAACTATTCATACACACAACAACTTGGATGAATCTCCAGAGACTTACGCTGAATGAAAAAAGGCAGCCCCAAAAGGTCACATACATATGAATCCATTTATATAACATTCTCGAAATGACAAAATTATAGGAATGAAGAACACATTAGTGGTTGCCAGGTTGGAAGCTGTGAGGAGGCAACATGAAAAATTATTTAGTGAAAGAACTGTTCGGTATCTTAACTGTATCAATGTCAATATCCTGGCTGTGATATTGTACAACGGTTTTGCAATATATATTTCCATTGATGGAAAATGGGTACATGGGATTTCACTATTATTTCTTAACAATTTCATTGTTACCAATGTACCCATTTTCATTGTGAATCTGTATTTATCTCAAAATAAAAAAAATTATCTTGGCTTAGTACGATGGCTCACACCTGTAATCCTAGCACTTTGGGAGGCCTATGTAAGTGGATCATTTGAGGAGGTCAGGAGTTCAAGACCAGCCTGGTCATCATGGTGAAACTAAAAACACAAAAAACATGGTCTACTAAAAACACAAAAAAATCAGCGAGGCTTACTGGCTATAATCCCAGCTACTCAGGAGGCTGAGGCGGAAGAATCATTTGAACCCGGGAAGCGGAGGCTACAGTGAGCCGAGATTGTGCCACTCACTCCAGCCTGGGCAACAGAGCTAAATTCCATCTCAAAAAAAAAAAAAATTATCTTGACTTCCAGTTTCTGGTCTGACATGTAAGAAGCTAGAAGTTGCCACTCTATCCTAACAATAATTAAAAAGCTGAACTAAAAAATCAACAACTCTTCTTAGATGTGTCAGAGAGGTAGGATCACAGGGCAAATTACTATCCCTAAGATTGCAGGGATCAAAATGCAAATGCTCAGAATTAGCTTGCTAGAGCAGCAACCCATGAGCTGAAACCTCTATGGGAACCATGCCAACATAGGGAACCCAGAACTGTAACTGATAAATTGCTAGAGGTTCAGAGTGGACAAGTCTGAGAATAAAAACGTCAGGAGGACCCAATCACTGGGAACCCCCCACTTATGATTTTTTACCTCTAGGAGCTTAACCAGGTTCTCAGTGAATATCTGAGAAAAATCCCTGTGCTTCCGTTAGGGAGGAAAAAAGGAATCACTTTGAAATATTCCAGGGCATTCTGTTCTTAGCAAGGTCTGCCCTCGGGAGAAACTGTTTAACCAGACCTGAACCTTCTGAGGTTTTATTCGAGCCTAACTGACCTGGGAGAAGAAAAATATCGAGTTCTAGTTAGGAGGAATGTGCTCCTCAACTCCAGCCCACTTAAGCCATCCTGTTCCCCTGAAGGAGGAGAAAAAACCTGAGAAATACTTGTGAGGTTCACAGTCCAGGGCACAGGCTCACTCAAAGACTGAGACCTACTCACAGGACCATAGGACACTTCCCCTCCCCAACTCCTTACTACACCATTAAAGGCCTATTTACTGGTCGGGTGTGATGGCTCACGCCTGTAATCCTAGCACTTCGGGAGGCTGAGGCAGGTGGATCATGAGGTCAGGAATTTGAGACCAGCCCGGCCAACATGGTAAAACCCCGTCTCTACTAAAAATAAAAAAATTAGCTGGGTGTGGTGGCAGGTGCCTGTAATCCCAGCTACTCAGGAGGCTGAAGCTGGAGAATTGCCTGAACCCAGGAGGCAGAGGTTGCGGTGAGCCGAGACGGCACCATTGCACTCCAGCCTCGGTAACAAGAGCGAAACTCCGTCTCAAAAAAAAAAAAAACCTACTTATAGCAGTTCTTTTTACCTGGTACATCGGTTCTGACTATCAAGAAAAAGTTAACGGGCAAACTAAAAGCCAAAAAAAATGAAAAATCACCAAAACCCACAATTTAAAAAGGTAGAACAAGCATCAGAAGCACATATGAGAGGAATATTAGAATAACAGACTGGGAATTTAAAGTAAGTATGACCGAGGCCAGCTGAGGTGACTCACTCCTGTAATCCCAGAAATCTGGGAGGCTGATGCTTGAGCCCAGGAATTCAAGCTTGGGCAACTAAGTGAGACCCAGTGTCTAAAAATAAAAAAATAAACTAGCCAGGCATAGTGGCATGTGCCTGTGGTCCAGCTACTTGGGAGAGGTGGGAAGATCACTTGAGCTTGGGAGATTGTAGCTGCATTGAGCAGTGATCATGCCACTGCACTCCAGCCTCAGTAAGAGAGCAAGACCCTGTCTCCAAAAATAAAATAAAATAACTATGGCTAATATACTAAAGGATCTAATGGATAAAGTAGACAGCAAGAACAGCCAGGCAATGGAAGCAGAGAGATGGAAGTATAGGAACCAAAAATAAATACTACCGATCAAAAACACTGTGACAGATAAGAATAAGGTCTTTGAGGGCCCTATTAGTAGACCGTACATGCCTGAAGAAATAATCTCTGAATTTGAGGATATTTTAACAGAAACCTCCAAAACTGAAAAGCAAAGAACACAAAGACTGAAAAATACAGAACAAAACATCCAAGGACTGTGGAACAACTACAAAAGATGTAACATACAAATAATAAGACCAGCAGGAGGAGGGAAAGGAACAGAAGAAATATTTGAAACAATAATGACTGAGAATTTCCCCAAATTAATGTCAGACACCAAACCATAGATCCAGGAAGCTCAAGAAGACACCAAGCAGAATAAATAACAAAAACAAGCAAAAACTATGCCTAAACATATCATTTTGAGACTACAGAAAAACAATAATAAAAAGTCTTGAGAGAAGCCAGAGGGAAAAAAACACTATATCATAGAAAAACAAAGATAACAGAGCTGACTCCTTAGAATTATGTGAGCAAGGAGAGTGTGCAGGGAAATATTTAAGGTGCAGGAAAAAAAAATCACTAACCTAGAACTCAGTGCAAAGTTATCCTGCAAAAGTGAGGGGGAAATAAAGACTTTGCCAAACAAAAATTGAGGGAAATTGTAGATCTGTCTTGCAAGAAATGTTCAAAGAAGTTCCTTAGAGAGGAGGGAAATGATATAGGTCAGAAACACAGATCTACGTAAAGAAAGAAAAGCACTGAAGAAGGAACAAGTGAAGATAAACTTTAAATCTTTATAGCACACTGGTTAGGTGGCAAAAGAAAAATAAACTTCAAAACTTTAGTTTATTCCTAACTGATCTAACAGATAACACTGTAAACCAGAGTATCTGAGACAAGTCTCAATCAATTTAGCAAGTTTGTTTTGCCAAGATTGACGCTATGCACCCATGAAACAGCCTCAGGAGGTCCTGATGACATGTGCCCAAGGTAGTCGGGGCACAGCTTGGTTTTATACATTTTAGGGAGACATGAGACATCAATTTATTATATGTAAGATGTACATTGGTTCGGTCTGGAAAGGTGGGACAACTGGAAGTGGGGCAGGGGTTTTCAGGTCATAGGCAGGTAAGAGACTTAACAGTTTTATTCTTTTGAGTTTCTGATGAGCCTTTCACTGGAGACACAATTTATAGTAATAGTCACTTATGCCTTACAATGACTTAGTGAAACAACAGAGTAAATGTTTAAATGTATATTGCAAAGTTGTAGGATACAAGATTAATATGCAAAAGTTGGTCTCTTTTCTATATACCATCAATGAAGAAGTGGAATTTGAAATTAAAAACACATTACCATTTATATTAGCACCCCTCAACAAGAAATACTTACCTATAAATCTAACAAAATAAGTGCAGGATCTATATAAGGAAAATGACAAAACTGACGAGAGAAGTCAAAGAACAACAAAATAAATATAGAAATTTCATGTTTATGGATAAGACTCAATACTTTATAAAGATATTGAAAAATTTGATTCTGTAAATGGGTCCAGGTATGGTGGCTCACACCTGTAATCCCAACACTTTGGGAGGCCAAGGTGGGTGGATCACTTGAGGTCAGGAGTTTGAGACCATCCTGGACAACATAGTGAAACTCTACTAAAATAGAAAAATTAGCTGGGCATGGTGGCAGGCGTCTGTAGTCCCAGCTACTAGGGAGGCTGAGGCAGGAAAATTGCTTGAACCCAAGAGACAGAGGTTGCAGTGAGCCGAGATGGTGCCACTTTACTCCACCCCGGGCAACAAAGTGAGACTGTCTCAAAAAAAAAAAAAAAAGTTTAAATGGAAGGACTCAGAACAGGCTGGGTGTGATGGTTCATGCCTATAATTCTAGAACTTTGGGAGTCTGAGGCAGGAGGATCACCTGAGGCCAGAAGCTTGAGAACAGCCTGGGCAACAGAGCAAGATCCAGTCTCTACAAAAACTATAAAATTAGCTGGGCACAGTGGTGTGCACATGTAGTTCTGTAGTTCCAGCTACTCAGGAAGCTGAAGTGGGAGGACTGCTTGAACCCAGAAAGTTGAAGCTACAGTGAGCCGTGATTATGCCACTGCACTCCAGCCTGGGAAACAGAGCAAGAAAAAAACCAAAAAACTCAGAATAGCCAACTCAGTATAGAAAGGGAAGAACAAAGTCAGAGGAATAACACTACCCAACTTCAAGACATACTTTAAAGCTACAATAATCAAGACAGTGCGGTATTGGTGAAAGAAAAATAGAGTGGAATAGAATAGAAAGCCCAGAAATAGACCCACGTAAACTGATCTTTGACAAAGGAGCAAAAGCAGTATAATAGAGAAAAGACAGTCTCTTCACAAATGGTCCTGAAGCACTTGGACATCCACAGGCCAAAAAAAAAAAAAATATATATATATATATATATATATATAAACACAAACCTTACACCCTTCACAGAAGTTAAGCCAAAATGTGTCACATACAGAACTGTAAAACTCCTGGAAGACAACATAGGAGAAAATCTAGATGACCCTGGGTTTGGCAGTGACTTTACGGTTGTAACACCAAAGGCATGATCCATGAAAAAAATAATTGACAAGCTGTACATAATTAAATTAAATAAATAATTAGAACTAAAAGTCTGCTCCGTGAAAGATACTGTCAAGAGAATGAAAACACAAGCCACAGACTAGAGAAAATATTTGCAGAAGACAGATAAAGGACTGTTATCCAAAATATACAAAGAACTCTTAAAATTCAACAATGGGAACACAACCCAATTTAAAAATGGGCCAGACACCTTAACAGACACAGATGGTCAGTAAGCATATGAGAAGATGCTACAC